ATTAGGTTACCGCATTGGTAGGTGTTTACCTGGGAGAAAACCAGTAGTTGATGAGGCTGGACATTGCCACGTAGGACACGATGATCGTCCCTGACACGGAGAGTGACACGAAGCCCAGGACACAGAGGACGCAGAATAGCGAGATGCCGCCCACAGAGATGACCAGCCCTGGAGGAGAGCTTGGTTAGTGGCATCATCTCACACAGCTGCCAGACCCTGGACCATTGTGTTTAAAAAACAGTTAACTCGGACTTTTTTAAGTGAGAAAAATATGTTTTTCATAAAGTGGGATCCGTGAGGGAAAACGCAGTACCAGCTATCAGGGAGGGCGGGGCTCTCAGAGCAGACAGCCCGAGGCGAATGCTAGTTAAGTCATTCACCGCCTCTGGGGCCTCCTGGAGGTTAGTTTGACGCGTCTGTAGAAAGGGTAAGTGATAAATGCCTGCAGGTGCTGACCTGACAACTCCGTGACTTGCCACATGTGTGCTGGGCGGTGGCAGTTCTGTCTGCCCTGCTTCTCCTTCCCCCTCATAACAAAGTCCCCCTTTCCAATGTAGGACTAAGGACATGGCAGGGATGGCTGGCAGACACCCTGGTTCTTGCCTCGGGCGTAGTGAGCAGCCGGGACTCACCCCCATGGCCTTGGTGATCGTCTGTAAACATAGAATCTAAACAATGTGCTGCCTTTTCATGAAGCCTCACAGTCCTAGGTCAGCGTTTTCTGAAGTGCGGCCAGTAACCACTGCATCAGAACCAGAGGCATTGGGAGGCTGGTTAGAAATTCAGATTGCTGGCCTGAGCTGGTTTGGCTCAATGGATAGAGTGCCCGCCTGTGGACTGAAAGGTCCCAGGTTTGATTCCTGTCAAGGGCACATGCCCAGGTTGTAGGCTCTCCCTTCCTCTCTAAAATCAATAAAAATATTTTTTTTTTTTTTAAATTCAGATTTCTGGACCCTACCTCAGACCTCATCTCTGGATGAGGCCTGAAGTCATCATTTTCACAAAGCAAGACTCATGCACACCCAAGTCCGAGAACCACTGCTCTAAAGGCTTTGCACATGCTGTTCCTCCGGCCTAGAAAGCCCTTCCTTACCCAAAGGAAATGACGTTATCGCACATCTTCAAGCCCTGCCTTCTGTAAAGCTTTGTCACCAAAATAAAGGGGACCCACCTCTCTCTCTAAACTCACTTTGTCCCAGTACTCATTCATCCCTCCACCATTCATTCACTCGCCCACCTGCCCATCAATACTTACTGAATGACCACTCTGCCAGGAGGTAGTTGGCTCATCGCCCACCATGCCTACCTTCTTCAAGTATAAACTGCCTCGTCCAGTCCCCAGGGCAGGGAAACAATTCTGGGTGCTCTTAGCTCTGAGAAGCCACAGCAGGGACCGCAGGTGACTGCCTGACCCACTGCCAACCATCCCTCTGGCTAGCATGTTGTGGCTTGTGATCTGACTTGAAAAGGCAAACTGAGCCAAACAGATCTGCTTTCTGGGTGACGTTAACTTAGCATCACAGGAGGAAGCTGAGAGTTGGCACTGGAACGTCAGGACAAAAGGGGAGAAGGGGAACCGCAGTACCTCGCAAGGCACAGCAGGCAGCAGGCGCGCAGTGACTGGCTGGCGTGATGGCCTCTCTGTTGGACAATGGTCAGCATTCACGGAGAGGCTGCCCTGTCTGTGGACTGTGCTAAACACTTCACGAAATGTCAGTCCCAATCCTCACAACAACCCTGAGACAGCATGTTATGTCCCTGCCTCACAAAGAGGAATCTGAGGCTCAGTGAGGGTATAGAACTGGTCCAACATTGCACTGGGAGTGCAAATTCTAATGCAGACTCCGGAGCCCGTGTTTTAACTACTCTGACAAGCGGCCGTGGTCCATGTGATTTTGACAAGAGTAGGGACCTTTGACCAGAGTTGCAGATGCCCAATAAACAGTGTTCTCCCAGCTGAGTCATTTTTCCAAGGGGGCAAATAACTGAGCAAGTACCTTCCAGTAACATGACACCCACAAAGGCAGCCAGGGAGGTAAGTACCACGAGGAGCAGGAAGAAGCCAATAGGAACGGCCGACATTACAACAAACACCAGCAAGGTGAGGGCCGCAAAAGGGTGGCGGTCCAGGTACTGGCCCACTGGAGACTTCATGAAGGCAACCACCTGCGGGCAGAAGGAAGAGCCAGGATTGGATGCACGTCTGACGCCCGCGCTGCAGGAGGCACGCTGGAAGGCTCCTGAGGAAGAGCAATAACAACCCTCCCTGACGGGAACCCTCACACCCACAACTGAAGGCGACTGAGAGCCCCACCCGACCGCGAGCCCTGCGAGGGAGGAAGGGCCTCTGAGCAGATGCCCAGCACGTGTGCACTGATGCACTTCAGTACAGCTGCCTCCCACTGCACAGCAGAGGCCAGAGGCACAGAGGTCAGGTCCCAGCTCACCTGCTTGCTGGAAACGCAGCATCGCAGCCCTGCCCACCCCCCGCGTCCGATGCTGCTGGTAAACAAGATGCCCGGCTGCCCGGCTGCTCCGTGCACCCACTAAAGCTGGGGCAAGGGGGGACTAAGGCGTCACCTAGAGCCACGAAGCTTCCACATGGCACAATGGAGGCAATCAGAGCTAAATCCCTCTCTCCCTGTCAAATGCTTTCAACGACTGCCACCTTGTTAGGAAAAAGCCTTTCCGTCATCAGCCTGGACACCACGTTGGCCACATCTGGACGGCTACTGCAGCTTGTGCTGCTTCAACAAGCAGTTCTCCTTCTTCACCAGGTGCGGGGACCTTGTGGGCCAGCTCAGTAGAGGAGGACTGCTTTCACTCAGAGCCGGCCCAGGATGGGCCTCTCTCCGTAGGCCGCACGCCAGCTCTCTCCTGGAACTGACATGCTGATTCCTGCTCCCTTGAAAGGTCCCATCATTCCAGAACTTTTCCCAGTAAAAACTGGTCCTTCCTATGCCTCATTCCTTAGAGTCCTGTAGGCCAGCAGCTGAAATGAAGACATAATTCAAGCTACAGTGATCACAGGCAGCACGACGCAATCCTCATGTGCCTCTACAAACAGCTGTGGCTTGTGATCTGACTTGAAAAGGCAAACTGAGTCAAACAGATCTGCTTTCTGGGTGACGTTAACTTAGCATCACAGGAGGAAGCTGAGAGTTGGCACTGGAACGTCAGGACAAAAGGGGAGAAGGGGAACCGCAGTACCTCGCAAGGCACAGCAGGCAGCAGGCGCGCAGTGACTGGCTGGCGTGATGGCCTCTCTGTTGGACAATGGTCAGCATTCACGGAGAGGCTGCCCTGTCTGTGGACTGTGCTAAACACTTCACGAAATGTCAGTCCCAATCCTCACAACAACCCTGAGACAGCATGTTATGTCCCTGCCTCACAAAGAGGAATCTGAGGCTCAGTGAGGGTATAGAACTGGTCCAACATTGCACTGGGAGTGCAAATTCTAATGCAGACTCCGGAGCCCGTGTTTTAACTACTCTGACAAGCGGCCGTGGTTCACGTGATGTTGAGTGTCTCAATGGTGGGAGGTGAGCAGGCTGCAAGGCAGGAGGCGCTCAGTGACGGGGACCCAAGTGCAGGGCTCCCTCTCCTTACCCAGAAGAGGCCTCTGGAGGAGAACTCTCCCGGCCAGACACACCCTGCCAGGCACAGAGGGCACACTGCCCACTGGCTACCCTGCCCCCACTGCTCCTTTCTACAAAAGCTGCCAAGTGTTGCTCTGCAGCTTCTCTAGCAGAGGGGACGGTGCAGGAAGCCCGCTGGCTTAGACTGCCCAGCTCTGCCCTCCAGGACACAGCAGGATTCTCCTGGGGGGGGGGCGGGGTGCTGAAGGCGAGGGGCGAGGCCATGAGAGGGTCATGGGAGTGGGCTGGCCCCTTAAGCTGCCCAGGTCCAGTCCACATATATCCTTAGTAAGCCCCCCAGGCTATCTGACCGGCTGATTGGTTCTCTCTGGTTCTTCCTCGCGACAGTCCCAGTGACCACGCGGGAGGGAGGGTGAGGGTGAGCTCCAGGTGCCAGCACGGTCGCTGTCGAGCACCTGAAATGTGGCTTGTGTGACTGATGAACTGGGTTTTTAATTGAATTTAAATTTAAAAATTGAAATGTGATTCAGGCATTGGAAAGTTTTAAATTACATTTTGAATAAGTCAGTTATGTCTCAAATAAATTTTCAATTGAAAATTTTATGAAATCTGAATAAAGATAAAGTATTTCCAATAAAAATTTAACATCTGAATTGAATGCTCTGAGTATATGGAAAAAAGGATGTAAAATATCTCACTAGTGATTTACACCAGTGGTCGGCAAACTGCGGCTCGCGAGCCACATGCGGCTCTTTGGCCCCTTGAGTGTGGCTCTTCCACAAAATACCGGCTCTTCCACAAAATACCGACTTCTGCACATGGGCCACAAAGTTTCAATCGCACTGTACGTGTGCGCCCGCACGTGGTATTTTGTGGAAGAGCCACACTCAAGGGGCCAAAGAGCCGCATGTGGCTCGCGAGCCGCAGTTTGCCGACCACGGCACTAGGCTATATAAAATATATTATTAAAGTTAATTTCACCTGTTTCTTTTTATGCTTTTAAGATGGCTATTAGAAACTTTAAAATTATATACATGGCTCACTTCCATTGGAAAGTAAAAAATAAACAAAAAAAGGGAAGAAATGGGAAGTAAAGTGCGGGCTTTTGAGCAGGATTGTGAGGATAGTAAAAAAAATAATCTAAGAAGGATGAGCCTGGCAGTCCTGTGCAAGAGGCAGTTAGGGAGATCGCAGGAAGTGGGACAGGCGCGCTGCTGGCCCCGGCAGCTGATGGCCCTGAGGGGCGACAGCGGGTGACAGGGAAACTTCGAGGGGACTTGCTGGGGATCCAGGAGAAAAGCAGGCCTGTGCCACTTCAGTCCTTGAGGAATCTACTTTTCTCTTAGCCTCTTCTGCAGCTGGGGCCTACAATGAATATTAATTCAATAAACATTTTAAAAGAAACTACTCTGCCTCAGGACGACCTGACACACGTCAGGGCTTACCCCACTGATCATCTGTCCCACCATCCTGGGAGCCGGCTGGCCAGGAAGTCCTCTAGCCCAGCGGTCGCCAACCTTTCGGACCTCACGGACCACCAGTTGGCGACCACTGCTCTAGCCCAAATCCAGGCCAACGACCATGGCTGAGGACGTAAGATGAAGAAGGGAAGAAATGCCAGGAGGCCAGAGTTCACACGCTGTAATGTCTAACTCACAGGTGGGTGAAAATAGGAAAGAAGGCACACCACATGCCTAGTCAGTGTTGGGCCTATAGCAGGTGTTCAGGCAGGGCTAGCTCGTATACATCTCTCTCTAGCAGGCGTGGATTTGCAGAACTGCCTGCTACTAACATGGGCACAATACTTGCCCTGCTTTTGTGAATATGCACAAAGCAGCAAAACACTTGTCGCCTAACACACACATTCCCAGCTGAGGTCAAACTCAGCGACACTTGCCTTCTAGTTTCCGCTCTCTGAACACCTGTCCTTTTCATGACCCATTGAGTGCCACCTGTCCCCCCACATTTTTATGAGTTTGTTTTTTGTTGTTAGTGGTGGTGATTTCACCGTTTAAAATGGCACCATGTGTAAGAAGGCAGCGTTGTGAGTTACAGAGAAAACAAAATGTGTTAGATAAGCTTCATTCAGACAAGAGCTATGGTGCAGTCTGCTGTGAGCTGTTAATGAATAAACCATACATCTTAAATAAAGTGTCTTTAAACAGAAATAGTAATACAACAGGTATGTATTCATCATGGATGGAAATGCTGTGACCAGGAGTTTGCCAGAACCTCGCCCTGTATTCCCCGAGGAGCAGAGGCCCAGGATTTGCTGACTGAGTGCTGGAGATGACTTTATCGGACACAGCTGACACATAGAATGCGAATCAAGTGCAGAAGGCAGACGAGTTAACCTTTAGTAACAAGAGTCTCAGCCTGCTGCTTGTCCAACAAAAAGAAAAGCTGTCTAGCCCTAGCGGATTTGGCTCAGTGGATAGTGTCGGCCTGGGGACTGAAAGGTCCCGGGTTTAATTCCAATCAAGGGCACATGCCCAGGTTGCAGGCTCGATCTCCAGTAGGGGGATTGGTGATTTTCTCTCATCAGTGATGTTCCTCTCTCTCTCCCTCTCCCTTCCTCTCTGAAATCAATAAAAATATATTTTAAGAAAAAAAAAGAAAAAGAAAAGCTGTCTAAATGCACAGAGTGCCCGCAGCACTGGGACAAGTCGAGAAAGCCTCTCTATAGAGTGTATTACTCCAGATCACAAAGCGGTATCTTCTCCAATGGATCGCAGTGGGGCTGTGCTATCCAGCACAGAGATCACAAAACAGTTCATTACCCAAAATGCACATTTTTGTGGGTATACTAGAGGCTCGGTGCACGAATTCGTGCACGGGTGGGGTCCATCGGCCTGGCTGACAATCAAGGCCTATCGGGGGACCAGCTGGCTGGGGGGAGGGGCTGTGGAAGGTT